CCCCCCCCCCTCCGCCCAGGTCACACACAGGGGTCCCCACTGGGGGCGTGGTTTAGGCGGCTTGTTCGCATCACCAAGACCCCGCTGCCCAGGCCGCACACAGGGCAGCTGGGGGCGTGGTTTAGGTGGCTGTTTGAGCTGCCAAGCCCCCCGCCACTCAGGGCCGCACACTGGGGTCCTGGCTGGCATTGGGGCTTAGGCGCCACTCGGGCTGGATGATAGCTCCAGCTGGCCCAACCTGCCTGCAGTATGCAAATTAGCCGCCATCTTGGCTGACAGTTAATTTGCATATACTCACTGATTAGCCAATGAAAAGGGTAGCGGTCTACGCTAATTACCACGTTTCTCTTTTATTAGTGTAGATTGATTTCAGAAAGGAAGGGAGAAGGAGAGAGAGAGAGAGAAACATCAATGATGAGAATCATTGATCAGTTGCCTCCTGAATGCCCCCCACTGGGGATAAAGCCTGCAACCTGGGAATCAAACTGTGCCCTGACCTGGAATGGAACTGTGACCTCCTGATTCATGGGTCGACACTCAACTACTGAGCAACACCAGCCGGGCCAGGCATTGCTTTAAATACAACAACTGTTTTAATCTTTATTGCAGATCAGAAAATGAATAAGCATATGAAGTAGCTGCATTGGTGTAAAGATTTAATGAACTCAAGTCAATAGTTCACCCTGGCGGGCATGGCTCAGTGTTTGAGCATCAACCTATGAACCAGTAGGTCATAGGTTCCAGATCAGGATACATGCCCGGGTTGTGGTGTGCGGGAAGTAGCTGATCCATGTTTCCCTCTCATCATTGATGTTTCTTTCTCTCCCTCTCCCTTCTTCTCGCTGAAATCAATAAAAACATATTCAAAAATAAAAATAAAGCAATGCCTGTATTTCTAATACTCAAGAAACAGAATTATTATCATGTTTCCATTACTCAATATAAGTGATTTGATGGTGTTATGCATAATTTGTTCATAGGATTTTATTTTGAAGGCATATGAATTATTGAGCTCTTATTCAAAACCAGAAAGTAATCTTTTCTGGAAGATCTAAGAACTTAAGTGAACTTGCAATTGTTAAGGCATTATTTTAAACTATATTGGGAAAGAAACAATTAGAAAACTTCTCCTTGAATTAGCACATTTGCTGAATTTCCACACACTGGGAATTTATACATTTTCAGCATCTTACAAGTTTCCTGTGGTAGTTTCTAATGAAATATCAACACTCAGAGTAACTGTGGAGGTACAGTGCTATAATATCATTTTAGAAAATAAACATTCTAGACAGGCTGTTGTATCTCTGAATAAATCTCACTGTAGCAGGAGCTCTAAACTGTCTGTGCTGTCTTTCCCATAGGGAAGTGACTTCTAGAGTTTTCCCCTTATTAATTTACTAGAGGCCTGGTGCACAAAATTCGTGCACTTGGGGAGGGTCCCTCAGCCCGGTCTGTGCCCTCTCGCAGTCTCAGAGCCCTCGGGGATGTCTGGTACTTTATCTGTAACTTCTTATGGATTTTTTCAGAAGCAATCATATTGACATGAATAATAACAGTTTTATATCAGCCTTTCCAATTATTATACTAGCTAGAATCTCTAGTATAATGTTGACTAGATATGATGCTACCTGATAAAAAAAAATAGAGCATTTTCAATATTTTACTATTAGGTATCATTCTTGCTATAGGTTATGTGTAGATGCCCTTTATTAGATTAAGAAATCACAAACAAGTATTTAATTGATCAAATACTTTTATGTTTTTTTCCATATTTATCCTATTAGCATATAAAATTACATTGATTTTAAAAATTAAACTAACATTGTATTCTTGAATAGTCCTCAGACATCTGAATAATCTATAAATTTGCAGATTTTATTTAATATACTAGAGGCTTGCTGCACGAAATTATTGCATGGGGTTGGGGGGTCCCTCAGCCTGGACTGCACCCTCTCCAATCCGGGACTCCTCAGACATCCCTTTCGCAATCCGAGACCGCTGGCTCCTAACTGCTCACCTGCCTATCTGCCTGATCTCCCCTAACACCTCTGCCTGCTGGCCTGATGCCCCTAACTGCTTCCCTGCCAGCCTGATCACCCCCTAAGCCCCTAACTGTCCTCCCCTGCTGGCCTGATCACCCCCCTAAGCCCCTAACTGCCCTCCCCTGCCAGCCTGACCACCCCTAACTGCCCTCCACTGCTGGCCTGATCTCCCCAATCACCTCTGCCTCAGCCCCTGCCACCGTGGCTTTTTCTAGAAGGATGTCTGGAAGATGTCCAGTCTAATTAGCATATTACCCTTTTATTAGTATAGATATTTTAGGAATTTTGCATTTAAATTTAGGAGATAAATTGATTTTTTATTCCTATTTCCCCCTTCATATGTTCTTGTCAGATTTTAAATCAAGGTTATCTGGCTCATAAAACAACTGGAGAATGTTCTTTTTTCTTTCTCTGAAATTGTATGTACTATTATAAATTATTTCCTCATTTAAACATCTGGAAAGATTTGCCAGTGAAGCCATCTGAGTCTTGAGTTTTCTTTGTAGAAGATTTTAATTAAGGATTTAATTTTTAAAATAGATATAAGACTATGTAAATGTTCTGCTTGATCTTATGTCAGCTTCAGTATGTTTTTCTTTGATTTTTTTCTATATCACTAAATTTTCGAAGTTATTTTCAAAACATTTTTCATAGAGTCCTCTTGTCTTTTTTTTAAATGTTGTTTTAAAAATATGTTTTTATTGATTTCAGAGAGGAAGGGAGAGGGAGAAAGAGATAGAAACATAAATGCTGAGAGATGATCATTGATCCACTGCCTACTGCATGCTCCCTACTGGGAATTGAGCCTGCAACTTGGGCATGTGACCTGACTGGGAATGAAACCATGACCTCCTGGTTCATGGATTGATGCTCAACCATTGAGCCACACTGGCCAGGACTGTTATTATCTTTTTGATGTTTTGTAGGATTGGTAATGCTGCCCTCTTTTTCTTTAATGATTTACTAAACTATACCATGTCCTTTCTTTTTTCCCCCTTGATCTGGTTTTCTAGGAGTTTATTAATTTTATTCCTATTTTCAAAAAACTAAATTCTGCCTTTGTTGATTTTTCCCATGTAATGTTTGGTTACTACTCATTGATTTCTTATCAATTGAATCATTATCAATTCCTCTTTCCACTTTTTAGGGGGATTTAGCTTGCTGTTCTTCTAACTCCATGAGAGAGGTAGTGTTATCAGATCCCCAGTGCTTTTCCTTGGGTCCACCTGCTTGCACACACTGGTCCAAAGAAATGCATGAGCAGGAGTTTGCAGTATATAAACAAAAAATAGTTTAATATTGAATTGGCCAACACAGAGATGGAGAGCTTGTGCTCTAAACAAACTGATGGCCTGTAGGTTACAGATTATATAGGGCAAGATCACAAGGCACTGTGGATTAGGGGTTTAGCGTTGTGCTGGGAGCTGATTGGTGAGAGGTGAGGTAAGTGTACTAAATTATTTCTTCAGGTCTTGATGACAGTTCTGAGGTCTTTTCTGGAGTCCTTCTGTCTGGTCTCATGTGGAGGTAGCCAGGGGGTCTTTACGCCTTAAGACTCAGGAGCTGGAAATATAACTTAGGTCAAGATGGTATCTTTAGCCAGATAGAGGTCTAAACTTGTGACCATTAGTGGGGTCCAAGCTACTGTTTCCTGCTGCCTTAGGGGTTGCTGATTATCCCAGGGAAAGGCTAAGTCTCTGAGGAGGTGGGGAGAGAGAGAGGGAAGGGAGAGGGAGAGAGAGAGGGAAGGGAGAGGGAGAGAGAGATGTTGGAAGCTCAAAGTGGAAAACACATGATCATTTCTGAAAAGACTGAGAAGACATTTGATAGATTCACCATTTATTCTTTTTATTTACTTATTTGAATTTTAGAGAGAGAGGGAAGGGAGAGGGAGAGAGAGAGGGAAAGGAGAGGGAGGGAGGGACAGAGGGAGAAAGAGAGAGAGAGAGAGAGAGAGAGATGATTTCTAGAGCTAGGATTTAAAACTAAATTTAATCAGTCATAAGGACCCTAAATTTGAAAGATGACTAGATCATCTATCTCATGGAGTTAGAAAAATCTTGGAATCATGAGACAGATGCTTATCATTGATTTTTAGTGTTTCTTCTTTTATCATATACGTACTTAAAGCTATGTATCTTCTTTTAAGCTTTTGCTGCATCTCACAATATTTAAATATTACTTTTGCTTCAAAAATTTTCTAAGCTATTTTGTGAGTTTTTAGACTTCTGCATTAACAGAAGTATGTTTTTCAACTTCAGAGATACATGTTTTTAAAATTTATTTAAATAACAACTGATATCTAGCTTAATTTCACTGTGGTCATAAAGCAGGTATTATATAACTTTAGTCTTTTCAAACTGGTGGAGACATGATTTGTTGCCAAACACATTGCCAATTATGGTAAATATTCCATATGCTTTTGAAAAGAATAGGAATCTGTTATTGATGGATGCTGTGTTCTGTATATGTCAATTTGGTCAAAATTGTTACTTGTGTTCTTCAAATTGTTTAAATATTTCCTGGTTTGGCCCTACATGTTCTATCAGTTACTGAGATAGAAAAATTATTCAGCTGTTATGGAGATTTATTTATTACTCTTCAAAGTTTTGCTATTTTTGTGAAAGCCAGAAGAAAATTCTAGGTGTTCTTAATTGATGGAACTTTCACTACCTTTCTAATAATATCTATAAGTACTCTTTTGGATTTTTTCCTATTTCTTATTGTGTGACTTTTAAGAATTAATTTTTTTGCTGTGGAGTTGTTACAGGCATCCCAGAGATCCCATAAAAGGCATTACCAAAAACCCTTGAGTCAGAGGGAGAAAACTGTCCCCACCCTGGTTCTTTTGTCTTCTCGTATAAATGAATTTAAATGAGAGACCCTGATTGCATTGCGATAAAGCCAATTTATTAAAGCAGCAAATTTATTAAGAAAACAAGGCAAGCAAATCTTTCATCTGGCTGATGAATCGCAGATGAGCTCTCAGCTACTCTGAAGAGTGAGTCGGATGGAGGTCCAAGGCTTTACATACCCTTGTGCCTATAAGTTTCAAAATTCCTTTGCTGAATATCTTAGCCCAGATTAATTCTCAAGGTCCCTTTTTACTTTGTTGTGGCCTTCCCAGAAATCATGAGGAGCACCTGGCAATTTTATCTTGTAAAGCCTCGAGACTGTTGGCTTTTCTGCTTAAGGAGTAAAACTCCCCTTTTTTCCTTTCCCTGCTCCCCCTCCTGGTCTTTTCAAGCATTCTCTCCTTAGGGATGCTTTTAACCATTTGCTCTCAAGTGCCCTTGGCTGGGGAAAATAATGGCTTGTTATGTACAAGCTGACTGCATATCGCCCACACTGTTTGGCCTTGTTTTAATGTTCCTGTCTCAGTTTCCCTATTCCACTTAACCTGGAATTTCCCCAGCTTCTCACTGCCCTGTAACAAAGTCATCATTAATATTTCCTTACTAATTATATCCTCTTTTATATCTATAGTTATTACACCTGCTTTATTTTAAATGTTTAAAGACTTTGTTTTAAATTTTTCAAGGTTTTGTTTCAAAGAACAAGTTTTTAAGATTATTTATTCACTAGAGGCCCGGTGCACAAAAATTTGTGCACTCCAGGGGGTGGGGAGGGGGGTCCCCCAGCCCGGCCTGTGCCCTCTCCCAGTCTGGGACCCCTCGGGAGATAATGACCTGCTGGCTTAGGCCTGCTCCCGGGTGGCAGAGGGCAGGCCCAATCCCTAAGTGCAGCCCCTGGTCAGGCTCAGAGCAGGGCCGATTGGGGAGTTGGGGCGCCGCCCCGTCATGCACAGAGCAGGGCGGATCGGGAGGTTGC